AGTTAAAGAACTAATCAATGGTTGGCCTAGATAATACTCCAGGGTCATCCAATCCTTTTCATCACAGATTTAGAATATCTGGTGACAAGTGGCAGAGTAAAGTTGCTGGGCGGTGAATATGTAAAAATATAGGTTGATGACGCATTCTGAGAAAAAATTGGAGCAAAGGTATACGACGGCCTTACATGCTGTGTCTTTGTTTCCCTTACAATTATTCACCCCACAAGTTAATCTTGTTCTAGAGATGCAGAAGACAAATATAGGTCCCTCACCAATAATACAAGGGTCGTGAACTGCATTCAAAAGAGTCAACTGTAAACCGAGTCACGTCCATGTGACGGTCCTCTGAACAATCGTGTCCCCTCCATTGATCCCCGTCAATTTGTCTTCTTCCTGTCTTTTGTGTTGGAATAAAGACTTTAGCGCAACTCAAATACTCTTATCACTCGTGTCTATGTTACTTAAAAGTGGTTCATTCATCGTCTTTTTGTTGCATATTAAATTTTAACATATGGGTTCAAAGATTTATTAATCCTGCGGTATGCATTTGCCTGTACACTGAGCATGGGGCAGGGGCAAAACAGAAAGCCATGCCGCTCATGATGAAGGGGTGTGCTTCTAGAAGCAAGGGCACCTGCCGGTCTGTCTTGCTTTTTTGTTCATTCTTGGTAGCAGGTAAGTTGGATTGACAAACTGTGTGATGTTCAGAATATCGCGACGGTATTCTACATGCGATTTTTCGTTGCCAAACCATTTGGCAACATCAGGCCCATAATGCGTAGGGTGTCTTGGGAGTCTTTCACTGCAACATGCTGCGAGTTTATTTGAATGAGATTCGGAGACAATGTACTCAACCACCTTGGGAATCGTACTGCAACTTAGAGCTTTTCAGATCGGGCATTGTGACTGCTTTGGTTACAAAACCAGAGATTCCTCTCAACAGCCCGAAGATGTGAAGAGGTAACGATGAAGAAAGTCCAGCTCAAGTTCAGTTGTATGTTTGTACACTAGATTCAAATCGTCACTTCATTAAGTTAACCTCATTCTACAATCATAGCAGTGGGGTCCGCAGTGGATAAACCAAGCTATAAAAACATGTCTGGTAGCCATACAACCCGACCTGTTATGCTGAACTATAGTTCAAGTATATTACTGGGATGGGAGATCTGTTTCCCATTATCAGTTTTTTTTTACCATTTTCTTTCATTGAGGGTTTTACTTTACGTTTTTTTTTGGGGGGGGGGGGGTTATAACCCTGGTATCGCATCCTGCATTACGGTAGAGAAACATATATATATCCTGGCATCCTTCAGAACATATGACGCAGGCAATGTCATTAATGACACGAAAAAAACTTTGAACTCAGCAGTAGGAAACGAGTATTAAATTCAGTCTTTTCAGTCAAATGTAAATAAGGCATGATTATTCAATATGAATCCTGTTTGGGTATTGATCATAACACGCAAGCGTAAAACAGCTTACGTCGCCGAAGTAAAATCACCACATGGTTTAAGGTTATGTTATTTTTTCTTCGAGGTTTGGATTTCTAGGAAGACCAAGATGTGGGTGTGACATGGGGACATAAAGAATTGGTATTCCGTAATACGTATACGTTCGTGATAATACCACGTACATCAAGTTCTACAATTCGAGTTCTTTCATTTGGTTCAAAAGTAGTTACCGTTGACCAATCGGTGGTTGGCCTAAATATTACGCCAGGGTCATCCAGTTCTTTTCATCACAGATTCAGAATGTCTGGTGAAAAGTGGTTGGTAAAAGTTGCTGGGCGGTGAATATGTTAAAATATAGGTCGATGAGGCATTCTGAGAAGAATTGGAGCATGCATACAAAGCTATTACATGCAGAAAATGTGCATTAGGCCAAAAAAAAAAAGTATTCGGTCTCTGGTCAGACCAAAGTTCCGGATTTGATGCGGCGATCCGGCTTTTTTTCCTTTCTTTTTTTTCCCTCAAGCTTGGATTGTACAGACAAGGTGCGGTACTATTTTGCTTTTTTGGTGTCCTCATGTACATTAGTATCCGCCATAATTTGCCTTGGTGCTCTCGATCATTTGCCTTGGTGCAATTTCCCATTCCTTGGTGCTCTTTGGTAAAAAAAAAATGAGAAGGTGCAGCAATAAAGAGCGCTGTTGGAGCTACCGCGGAACATTTTGGAGAAAAAAAGAAAGATTGACGCGGATGATTAAAATCGACGCGCGCTGACCAGAGACTGACCTTTTTTTTGGCCTTATTGACACAAACAAAACCCTGAACTCAGCAGTAACAAACGAGTATTAAATTCAGTCTTTTCAGTCAAGCCAAATGTCAATAGGCCATGATTATAAGATGAAATAACCAAGGGTCATCAGAGTGCGGTGAGGGTTGATAAGGTGTCTGGGCGTGTGGGGGAAAGGCCTGAAAAGCTACGGGATCTGCTTGGGTCAGTTGGAGAGGGTGTAAAGGTAAAGGTTCGTATCTGTCTGACGTCCAGCGGATTGAAGTGGTGGCAAATTAAAGTAGTCTTAGTACGGAGGGATAAACTAAACGTCACCACTGTTCTCGAGGACTTGTAAATGTGGAAGAAGATCTGGAGGGAGGCATATAGACTAACCTTTCACCCTAATATAGATACATGTAATTGGCCCAACAATCTATACTCTTATGGTGATAGGCTACTCTATAATGGCACTGTAGTCATCTTGCGTTTGTTTATGGTGTAAATCGAGGACACACACGTGCCACATTATCGATGAATCGAGGACAGGAACCAATTCGAGGACGACCTCGATTAGAAAACGTGTACAAAACCAATGAGAGCTGTTGCGAAAAAATAAGAGTACAAACTAAGGAAAGGGAAAGAGGAACTAGAGAAAATCCTCGATTTACACCATAAACAAACGTGTGTGGGTGTGTGCTTGTCTTCAAGATATATGGATGGGTAGACGTCTCGTGCATTCATTGTTTATGACTTAATATAACAAGGCAAACCTCCAAGATAACTGCCGAACGCAATCCATCTATAGAGGCTTTAGCGTTCCACACTGCCTTCCTGAGCTATCTTCTCTTTGAAACTCCATCACTCACGATTCGAAAAAAAAACCGGAGGATAATGTTTATTTAAACCCAAGATATAAGAGGGTATAAGACCCAAGTTCGAAAGTATAAGACAAAAAGGTGTATTACTCTACGTGTGGCTACAGTATACAAATAATGAATGTTATGTGGAGATTGCACGAATGTGAAACATTCGTTATTTGTTTTATACAACGCCTGAATAAATCCTCGTCATCTGATTGGTCAGAGCCACCAATCGCGTGACCGTGCAATTTACAGTGAAATAGAACTTCTATATTGGGGGTGTGGCTTGGCCGTGGGTTGGGACGAATAATTCAACGACATGTGATCAACGAGATACCAATCAGATGAAAGGGATTTATTCAGGCGTTGTATAAAAGGAACTATGGTCGTCCTTTTCCACATACAACTCATACTTCATGGGGGATTTCTCAAAATACTTAAACTGCAATCAAGATAATTGTCAATCGTCATGAATCATGCACAGATTTATGAATAATGCTCCATATAGTAGCAGGGTGATAATGCCCTTAATTTGTGTGATCGTTGGCTTTGAAAATTATTACTGTCCTCTACTCGTGTTTTTGTAGCTGCTCTATTGTTGCATTTGCTTTGATGTTTTTCTGGTCAAGTTTTCAGGGATGAGGATCTTTCATGCACGACTTTTTATTTGCCAGTTTTGACCAAATATTATGAAATCTATTAGCAAAAGGTTAGTTCGTAGATAAGCTTGTATTATCCGTACCTGGCACGGCAAGAATGACAAATATATCCGACGTATTGTGTGCTGTGATAGTGACAATGCCAGGTTCCCTTTAGTACTGAAGTTGACTTTTTACCCGACTTGTGTTGACATAAAACTCAACTTTGCCCAGAACTTAAAGTTGCAATTCGTCGTATTATCATACTGGGCGTGTAGGTGACCTCGAAAACGGTCGTTGGTTAGCGCACTAGTGGCTGAGGCTGTAATGAAATAAGTTAGATTCTGCACTGGAGAATCAAAGGTTACTTTTCTCGTTCAGCAAATTATTGACCCCCCAAAAAATATCATTGATTACTCTTTGCTAATGATACATGACGTCAGTGACATATCTTCGAGCTAGATTTAAATACATAACAACATTATTAGCTGCACATGTTTATGAGTAACGTACTTATATTTCTTTTTTCATGATATGAGATTTAAAAAAACCGAGTAACATAGATACGATGTGATGCGGAATGCATGCTTACCGTAACTGTTAATATAACACCTCTACGTTTGAACTTTAAGGGTAATTTTAATAAAGGTTGATTTAAGAAAACGGTCGGATTTTGAGTATCTTAACACCCTTTACAGTCTTTCACAAACACTGAAAAGAAATTAGAAAAGACGGGAAATGATATAGTGACATATTGACCCCACCCCACTTGCAAATCTAACTCAACTAGTCTAGTATACCACAAATGTAATTCTGGGTGCAAACGAGTTGAACTACATTCTCAACATTGTCTTGAATTAAACCAATATTTCCAAATATAATCGGAAATTTCCCATCGTGTTTTCCACTTCAAGTTATTGCCCAAAGTTCTCTGATTTCTGCATTAAATTTAAATTACATCAAAATTAAAACAGAGATATTTGCATTCATATTGGTTGGGGGTACTCCCCACCCCACCCGTCATCCATCAGTGCTGACATGCACACTCACCAAACCCCAACCCTATCGCCAGGGAGGGTGCCTGCCACGCCCTATTTTAGCTGCTCAGATCTTTCACACAGTCGATCCACACGTCTGTATCTTCAATTTTCAAATAAATAAATTGTACAGATATATGGCTTCTGTTTATTGAAGTCCCAGGATTCGTAATGTAGTTTTATTCTAACTTACGACTCTGAAAATACTGTACATTTTTCTTTCATATCTCGAGTAGTTTCTGCCAGTGATGGCGATAGCTGTGGAGTCGGCTGGATACAATATGGCGGTCTTTGTTACCAGATTGTTTCTGGGTCTGCTTCGTGGTCAAATGCACGTCTGGATTGTCACAGCAAAGGAGGAGATTTGGTCGTCATACCCGATCAAGAAACAGCCGTAAGATTCTCGTTAATTCACACACAAGTTGAAGTGCCCCCCCCCCCCAAAAAAAAACACCGCCAAAAAACAAAGTATTTGTGCATATTCATGGTTAAAACAATGTTTTGAACCAAAGGAGAGTAAATTAGTATTATATTATAATTGTTGATGTTTTTATTATTTGATATGTTTTATATGTTTTTTTAAATGATGTAAATCTATGGAATTTGAATTTGTTTTTCCTTCTGTGAAAAAAGTTTGGTTCAGCTACAAATAGTGGGGGCACTTTAAATTCTAAAATAAATGGGGGGGGGGGAGGGAGGTAAAGTTATACATTCTTTTGAACGATTTACAAAATGAATTTTTCGAACCTTGACAGGACTTCCTAAATGAGACGATGGTTGGAGTTGCTGCCCGGCATTGGATTGGCTTGCACTCCCGTAGTGATACTCCTGGCTTTGTATGGGTAGATGAGTCAGTAAATATCTCTCAGTTCTCGTAAGTATGATAGAATATCAATAGATACAAAATTTGACTGGTACATTTTCTGTGGGTTGGGGGGGGGGTGGTTCAAAAATTCCCAATTGCTGGCAATGGAATGAAGAGTGTTCATGTTCTTTTTTTAAATGATAATAACTATGTTAAGACGTTTTACTATTTTACCATCATGTTACTCTTCCCATCAACAGGTGACTGTCAACTATTTATTGATCAATTCAAAATTGTATGCTATCATTGGAGATTATAATTTGATATTTGACATGTTCTTGTATTTGTTGTTTTTTCTTGAAGGAAGCTTGGGGAAACTTTCAGATACTTCTGGAAATAGTAAGATAACCCCAGACCTGGCTACGAAGGTTTTATTAGGGACATTCTGGTCACGAAATACCACCTCCCTTCCAGCAATCCCCACCCATCCACATGGCATTCTCTGCCCTTCCCAGTACACTCCTGACTCAAACACTGCAAAAACTGCAGTGTTAAATTTACACTGTTGGTATCTATATAGGACCATCTGGTGTTAAATTTTACTGGTGTTGTCCTATATAGATACCGAATGGTGTTAAATTAACACTACAGTTTTTGCAGTGTATATGAACAACAATGTAATAATGGCTTTTATACATTGACATTCTGCAGGAACTGGGCTCCAGGTCGGCCAGCCCCTCCGTCTATCTGGGTTGTAGATTGCGTAGCTCTTAATTCCGGATCTAGTCTTTGGTACGATTACGGATGCGGGTCTAGAAATTCCTACATATGTCAACGTGAAATCGGTAAGTCATTCGTGGTGTTGTTATGCGTCAGACTGTTTCATGAGATTACTATTTAGTATGTAGGTCCCAGATCAACTGGAGTATATCCGTTCACCAGTAAACATCTTTCTGTCTGGCTGTTATCCAGGTAGTTCTAAACGGGAGTGATCAGAATCTCATGTGTCTCTTCCTACTCCAATAAGTCAAGAGTAGGTCTATGTGTCTTTCGTTGACGCAATCAAAAATCGAGCTAGTGCTTTCTGCTGTTTAATAAAAGAAAAAGAAAAAAGGAAGTTGTGTTAATTGCCACAATCACTGTAAAGTACCATGTAGGGATAACCGATGTATAAAGTTACGGCAGCAGTCCAACAGCAACAACTTTTTGGGGAGAAAGGGTGGGATATTTTTGGACAACTGTGACACAACTTTTGCCTTAACCTATAGTGAGCACTTCAGGACGAAGATGGAGTTTCATGTTTGCCTCTATATGCCAGGTGTTTTACCAAAGTGTGATGTCGGCAACGGCTGGCGAAGCCACAACAACAAATGCTACAAGAGGTTGAGATATCGGAGAAATTGGCAGGATGCAGAAAGTCTATGTGCTTCATATCCAGGAGGTCACCTGGCCTCAGCCACTAGCCAGGATGATGTGGCATTTATCACCAACATTCAGGCTACGCATGCTACAGACGTATGGATCGGGCTCACTGATGTGGTAGGTTACTAACTTTGCGTGGAGTAATAAGTGTGCAGTATACGTGCCTTTATAGCAACCAGTAGAGATGCAAGAGGATAAACTGACGTTACACGTGTATTATGAATGTCTGTATGTAGAAAGCAAATTAAAAGGCTCACATTGTTTTGCACAGTTTGGTCATAATGAGCAATTTCTCAAAATGTGACCTCACATTCTGGCTACATGCTCTGTCTCTGGCCACGGCTTCGACTGTGACTGCCGGACTCTTATTTTGTAAATGCTTCATCTCCAAACAAATGCAAAGATTCAAGGCTTTCACTATGGATTAGTAAATTATTAGATGTTTTCATTAGCATGAAATAACTTAAAGTCAATAAACTTGATCCTAAAGTGTGAGATGAAACTGATGTTTAGGTATGGTCTGCAGTCTCCATACGTCGGAACAACATACACAGGCTACATTCGCTTTTTTCCTGCCTTTGATGATTGTAAACAAATTAAAGAGAGCACCGTTTATCTCTTTTTTTTCTGAATCCATCCTTAGAATCGCACTGTCGGGAACTACACGTGGTCTGATGGGTCTACCTACACTTCAAGCTACACCAACTGGGATGACAATGAACCGAACAACGCGTAAGAATAACAAACGGACAGATGCCGTTTGCTCCTTGCATGGAGCAAAGGGCAGTTCCTTTTGAAACTCTGACCCACTTTCGGGCTTAATGTTGGCCCTTTTTACAGCGAGTCACTTAAGGGTGCAACCTAAGATTTTGTTGAATTCATTGATGCCAATTGATTTTTACCAATTCTCATTTCAGCTACTTCAATTCTGGTGGCGATTGTGGATCAGTTATGGGCGACGGCCTATGGCGCATCCAGAGATGTCGATGGGACTGGAAGTATCCATTATGTGCAGTATCTGAAGGTTGGTAGCGTGTTTGTATTATGTTTGATTGTCTGCCTATTCTGCTGGAGTCTTCCTGTTTCGTATTGATGATAAAAGTGTGAAAATAAATCATTAAAATGTTCATAATGAGCCACAATTGCAGCACAGTTGGTCGATTGATGACAATTCTTATACCTTTATATTGCTGTTATTCGCCGTGGTCTATTTCATAGACTATATGTAAATACAGGGTGAGTTAAGAAAGCGGAACCCAAACCCCCAAAATTATATTTAAAAGAATATGTAGCACCAACAATAATAATAAGTGAAAAGTCAATTTCATAAGCTACTTTTACACGAAAAAAGGACTGAAATTGGTGGATCCGTTAAAAAAAATTCACTATTTATACAATGACCCTAAAACCTGTCTCGTTCAAAAATGCGATTTTAAAAATCGTTGTCACAATTGTCTTCAAACATCACCAGCGATAAAAAAAATCTCAGTTTAAACGTTAAAAATATTCAACAAAGTCCTTTTGAAGGCCCGTCTTTAAAAAAAAGTATATTATATAAATTATATTGTTTGCCTAACCAGGATTGTTAATACAGATATTGTTTAGGCCTACTATATTGGTGACAGTTGTTGAAACAAGTATTGTTTGTCATTGTCTTTGCTGTTCCAAACAGTCAAAACACACAATAATAACCACTTTTTGCGCGAGACAGGTTTTAGGATAATTGCGTTTAAATGGTGATATTCTTTGAACGGATTGAACAATTACAGTAATATTTTCATCTAAAAGTAGCATATGAAAGTGACTTTTTAGTCATTATTATTTTTGGTGTTACTTATTTATTTTAAATATGAAATAATTTTGTGTTTTGATGTTTGGGTTTCGCTTTTTTTTTTTTACTCACCCTGTAATTAACATTGGTCAGTCTGTGTTGGTTGGTGTAGGAGCTGGCTAGCCCCCCCCCCCCTCCTCGCACAACCATCCCCTTTGATCCGCCCCTGTGTTGCGAACATTGTTTTCTACAGGTAACTGTGCACCGGGGTGGCATGCTGTGAATGGTCACTGTTACCAAGTCAACTCTAACGTACGCAGGTGGCTAGCCCCCCCCCCCCCACCCTCCTCCTCGCACAACCATCCACTTTGATCCGCCCCTGTGTTGCGAACATTGTTTTCTACAGGTACCTGTGCACCGGGGTGGCATGCTGTGAATAGTCACTGTTACCAAGTCAACTCTAACGTACGCAAGACCTGGACGGACGCCAAGCATTACTGCGAGGCCCAGGATGGATATCTGGTGACAATTCAGGAGTAAGTGCTTGCTTTCTCTCTTTAAGAATTATGAGAAATCAAAGCCACAACCTCGCAGTTTTTCAAATTTTCCAAGCCGGTAGTAGTAGTAGTAGTACTACGACTACTGCTGTACTTGACTGTCAACTGGTCGTGGTGACCTCCAACCTTCCCGGTCAAGAGGAAGAGACCGACACTCGTCCAAGTGGGAGGTTAATGCCTAAGGTTCAACTTGACGGCAGCATCAAGGGCAAGACAAGCAGAGGCAGGAGCTTAGAGGCGCCGAAGCTGGTAGCCCCCCCCCCCCCATTGCTTTGCCTTGCCTAGGATATGCCCATCCAATGTCGGATGTAGCCCTCCTCATGATTATTCTAAGTTGACCTGTCTGTTAGCTGAAAGCTGTTAGGTCACCTCTCCATCTTTTTTGCCTGCCGCCTCTTCTTTTTCCTGTCCTTGGTTGCCATTCTGTTAATGTTTGTGTCCATATGTTGTCGTTTCTTCGAGCCAATTGCCAGTCCATCTCCAATTTGACTAGTTGATCTTAATGTGCACATCCTTAATTCCAATTAGCTGTCGAATGACGGTACATCTTACTTTGCCTCAAATGTCTTTGTCTCGCTGTCTCATTATAATTAATTAATCATGCATTTATTTTCTTGTTTCATCCCATGCATTTATTTATAAGTAAAGCAGTCAGCAATTTCTGTCCAAATATTTTTAATTTACATCTGATGCAAAAATTCTGATATACTTCAATTATTTCAATTTTAATATTTATGTTGTTTGTTTTTGTCGTTAAGATCCTTTGAAACAGACCTCATTCAAAGCTTCCTCCCAGATCTGATCGACTCGGGCATCTCAACGCTCTTCATCGGCATTTCAGGTCAGTCTTTATAGTTGAATGGATGTTTCTTTATTTGCATTTAATATTTAGAGTCAGAACCATCAAACAGGAACTGAAAAATTAGTAAATGTAATCCTGTTTTGGATACACTGCAATCGTTTTGAATGTATACTAAGAAAGTACAATAAAAGTGACACATTACGTGCATATCTGTTTTAAATTTCAAGCAATGTAATTTTGCATTTGTTAAAGGAAAATCAAGGTTTTGGTCAAAGTTTGTGCTCAGAATGTCTTTCAGTGAACGTCCCATATCCACGTTTAACGCCCTCGCCTGTTTATTTCTTTAATAAACAGATCAAGAAACAGACGGGGCATTTGAATGGGTCAATGACGGACCCACAACCTACCAAAACTGGGCTCCCTCACAACCAGTCAACACAAACCATACCGACTGTGGATATATCTATACAGGTTTGTACATCACATCACTTCTCACAAAGACTATTTCAGGAACCGATGAGAAACTGAAATGATTCTTGAAATAGCATTTGAACTTTCTTCATTTACTCAATGGATTTTTCAGAAAACAGTGCAACAACCATGGACCGATAGTGAGCAACCAGAACTGCTGTCAAAAAGCTTACCTGGATTAAAGATGGCACTTGTTCTCAGAAAAAACCTTTGAAATTATTCCGTCTGGCTTGCTGTCATTTAGAAGAAATCAAGAAATGTAGGTGATTTCCAACGATCAGTCAATTGACTGATCATTGGAAATAAAGAGTCTATTGACATAAACGCGTTTCGTGATTTAATGTTGCCGGTTTTGCAAAAGTTTTTCACTGTTTTCTCGAAAAAGTGTAATATCCACGGAGCTGGAATTCAAACAGGTAACAGTCTTCTTTGGGTTTGGGGTTGTGGTATTTTCGGAAACAAACAAAGTGCAAGCATGAATTGCAAATGATCTGATTATATGTCTTTAGTAAAAACTTGTTTATTAGGTGTTGCGCCTTGAGCCCAATACCTATTGGTTTTGTAAGACTTTACTGTTTTTATTCTTCTCAGCATATTCTCAGGAAATCCTTTTCCAGAACTGTTTGGAGAAATGGAAACATATATGAACTTCATTTGTCAATACATGAATGCCCAATCCACCGCAGATGGTATTTTTTGCAATTACGTCATCATGACGCCATCATGGGTCACGTGACGTCACTCGAAAGTTTAATAAATTTAATCTTTGAAATTCCATATAAAATCAACCGTGAGAGACCGGAACCTGAAATTTGCGGGAATCGACATGGTTATACATGATCTTCATTTTATGTTGTGCGCGTAAAATCACGTGACCCTTCCTTCCGGTCGAAACCTAATAATTTAAAAGTGGAAAAAGATATGAACTTGCTTTTAACGATTTAAGTGTCTGCCTGGATTGACCTTTCAAAAAAAGTAATGGGTGACGCCATAAAATGGTTGGAGCGCCCTCTAGCGGCAGGTTAAAACGTCAAAAACGCATTTTCACTTGATGTCTGTGGCGAAGTTTGCGGTAATCGTTTCAGAATTAATGTACATGATGACCATAATGCAGACAACACGAAAAAAAAATGATTACGTCATCAGACCGGAAGTTACAATAAAAAGACCTTTAAATCTTTAAAAATTGCTAGAAAATATACCGTGATAGATATAATCAAGATTTGGCTGTATACAGCACAGTAAATATATCTCTGGAGGTTTCTGGTAATGACGTCATAATGACGTCATCAAGTATCGTATTACAAGCAATCAAAGATTTCTAGATTTAATCTTTGAAAATCATGTAAAATCAACCGCTACAGATTTGATTTTGTTTTTTGTGGCAATCGATACAATATTGCAGGGTCTTTATTTTTGGTATTAAGTGCAAAATCACGTGACCCTTCCTTCCGGTCGAAACCGGAAGTGCCTTATTATTTGAAATTGGCAGAAGATGCGAACTTGCTTTCAACGATGTGAGTGTCTGCCTATGCAGTACTGTACAAACATATTACAGGTGACGTAATCAAATGTTAGAGCGCCCTCTAGCGGCAGTTTAAAAAACGTCGAAAACGCATTATCACTTGATGTGTGTGGCAAAGTTTGCGGTAATCCATGGCCCAACACCGTGTGGATGTTCCTACAACCTCTAGTCTTTATATGTATCTTGGTATCAAATTTTTTCCAGGAAATTTGGCTGCACAGTGGCTGGCTGGTGACTGTTTTGAGCTTGGGGCTTACATCTGTGAGATACACGCAGGTAACAGTCATATTCCATTTGCCTCAAGAAGGTCCAACCTCTCTATGCTGTTTTTGTTCTAAAATCAGGTTTGATACTTTTTTTCTTTTTAGCCAAAGTGAACATTTGACACGTTCCTAGTATTTTTGTATAACTCTGAGAACTCTTTTTCTGTTACAGGAGTTTCTGTAAAACCTGTGCCGCCAGAAATGGGTGAGTTATAAAAAAAAAAAACACATTTCAAACTGTTCCTCTTTTTTTACCATTACGAGTTGCAGCTTAAAAAAAATCAACAACTCACTACAACCAACAGCTCACGTACTCAGTGTACTTTATTCACAATTATAAAGATTTCGCAGATCTGCCTAGACATAATTGTTCGTTTATTTTGTTCAGAAACGGGCAAATGTGAGCCTGGTTGGGCACTCCATGGTAACTTCTGTTACGAGTTCAGCTCTGAAGCTAAGACTTGGGATGATGCGAACATTGCCTGTCTCAACAATGCAAGCCAGCTGGCCAGTATACACAGTGACAGGGAACAGTCATTCTTTTCAAGTAAGAATGTAATAATAATCAAAGTATCATTTTGAAAACCGCTGATAAACTTTGGTTTATGTTGCTCTGGGTATTATAGGCCACATCCAAAATGCTCGGCTACGGTTTTTGAATTCTAGATGCTCCGTGATGCAATCTGAGGCATTTCCTGGCCACTTTCCCCTGACTTTTTGAATGAAATGTGCTCGTATTTAGCGAGATGGGGATAGGTCATCAAAGTTGATTTATAACGCGCAAAGATCACATCAAAACTGTAGCTTGACTCTCTTCGAGATTCTTTAGCTTGATCCATGATTTTGAGTCGTCACTAAGAATCTGCTCAATTCGTAACTGCATGTCTGCAAGCGATCACGTGTTTGTGTTTTGCACAGCTATAGGCTTAGCTGTCAACCGCCGCATGTGAAGCGACTTCGCGCGGCACCTCGTGCCGACATGACATAATATGCAATCTTTTGCCATGGGTTTCAGAACTGGATTTAGCTTAGTGAGGTTTTGAGCAGCGGTGTTTCATTATTGGCATTCTCCATTTGTTCTTTTTCCCTCTTCCTTTCCCCTTTATTCTCCATTTGTTTTTTTTAACCGACAGCACCATGATTTTGCCGACAAACTGACTAATGGGGGCACTCCCTATTAGTCAGTTTTGTCAAAGGAAGGGGAAAGGAAGAGGGAAGAAGAAAAGTAAATTAGACATGGTCTCGCTGACTAGGGCCCAGTTTCATGAACTACCAAGCAAAAAATATCGCGGAGCTAATTTTTGTACTAAGCATAAGTTACTGATAATACTAATGGCACAGAAACATCAGTGGGATTCACGTACAAGTCTGATTTTATTTCAGCTCGAATTGACGTCATTCAAAGCTCTGTTTGGATTGGACTTAATGACAGAGTGGTGGAAGGAAACTTCACCTGGACAGATGGAACGCCTGTAAGTCCTTGCACTCCTATTTGTTTTAGTCTATTTTGTGCCAAGATGACTACATGTATAGAGGTTTTTTTTCCTTACACTTTGGCAAGATGTAAGGTTGTGGGCTTGCCAATGCCCCCTGTGTGTCCCCCACCCCTTTTAAAACATTTAGAAGTAAGGAACCGTTATAGAACCCAAGATCTAACCCAAACTCTTTATACCGTCAATCTTTAAAACTCAATTCCATATAGGCCATAACACTCTGGGGTGGTGTGCATATATAACTCATCAAAATTGACACTTCAAAAATGCACCTCTTTTTGTGTGTGTGTGTGTGTCTTTTGTTTTCAAGTATTGAGTAATCGTTACGTGAGTATTACCCTCAGCGTGCATGGGGAAATATCGCAAAACTTCCAACATTTTGCATTTCTCTTTCATGACAGTTTGATTACCAGAACTGGAGGTCAGGGACCGGCGGTTGGTTAAGGGATTGCGTGATGGTGTTGGCAGAGCAAGATCTTGGAATGTGGACGCCTGTAGTCTGTGGACAGAATCACAGATATGTCTGCAAGAAGCCGAAGAGTAAGAAAATGTCGGCTGAAACAAAATTCAAGATTCAAATTGAACATGCTTTAGACAGTTTTGGATACAGCATGAAATTACACTCCTTATATCATGGACATACCAACATTCCGTTTCTTTAGCTCACACATGCAGTTTTTGTACTACGACAACTCAATGACTAAATGAGTACTTAACTTGATCTTTTGTTTTCATCATACAGTTGATGATGGAACTGTCCACACACCTGCTCCTCCACCAACTCGTAAGTAGGAGTAAAACACTAAGATCTCTTAAATGCAGTCCGAGGAATTAGAAGATGAAAGTCAATTATTTTGAAGTCTACTTGAATCCACTTCAGTAGTTCACTCTTCATTCACTGGAAGACAACAGCGGAATTGTTAAATGAAATTTTCTCAAAAGTTAATTTTACCACTTCGATTTTGCAGGTGGTCTATAAAAATAAACCATAATGTCGGTTCTATTGTTTTAGTGAAGTTCTGCATGTAGCACTTTTAAAATCTAGGATATGAAAGCCCAATTCATAAGCTTTCTTTTAGTACAAAAACCATTCAAATCACTCATGTACTTTTCAAGTTCCGGAATTTTAAACTTAATCAACGTTTAAAAGTTCTGACTCACCCTGTATTTCCGTCACTGAACTCAGAACCCCGTTGTTACAAGCCGTTAGAAACCTCTTGCACAGCAGAATCCATACATTTAAATATCTGAATTCTTAAAAAAAAGGCCGACTTCATACTCATGTTTTCATGACGGCCACTTTTAATGGGTAATTCATTTACAGCATACTGATCATAATTACGAACCAAAATTTGATTTTCTTGGATGCAGCTGGCTTTGAGTCGCGTTGCGGCTGGGGTTGGGAGTATGACGTCGCCTCTGAAACATGCTATACCTTCAGGCCAGACAGCTCCGAAAACTGGCAGGACGCCCTCTATCAGTGCCGTGTGGAGGGCGGGGATCTTATCAGCATCACGGGACTGGAGGACCAGCAGTTTATAAACAGTGAGGGCAGTGTTGTAATCTAGACCGATCACAAGTCTGGCCACAAGTCACTATAGTATTGTTGATGTACCCTGACGTGGTGCAGGCCCTATTAACGTGGCGCACTTTAAGTTTTCGGCTCCAGCGCCTTGCTAGAGCAAACGTTTTACCTAAAATTTCACACTAAATGATATTCCATCGAGCTATAAACATACCCGTTCATAAATCGGGAGTTTATCAAAGTTAGCAGAGACGTTTATTTTGGCGTGCTTATCCGATTTCATTTCGAAGTGCACGGTGAACCCTTTGAAAATGAGCCAAAAATTAAAAAACAAAATTTTCTGAAAAACTTCTGCTTGGGAATGTATTAGACTGAGCCTAATAATGATTAATCAGAATTTATCAACTTTAAAGACATTCATAAAATGTTAACTTGGATTTTTCCGAGACACTGAGCCAATTTTTGTGCCAAATTTCCGGACACAACCTTTTTTGACAATTTCATATGTTATTACATCATATTTCAACTCTGGATTTCAGCCATCGGTATTCGCTTGCAGTCCAATATTCCTTCCTTATTTTGGAGCTTTTCTCTTTCAGGTCGTCTTCAGTTTTCAGGAGCTTTATATACCTGGATGGGTTGTAATGACCTAGGGAGGGAAGGCGGATGGGAGTGGAGTGATACATCACCATTTGCGTTCGTCAATTGGGATTCAGGTACAGATGCTTCACGGTTTATCCATTATCGGTGATTCATAAATCATACCTAAGACAGTTTACCCATTGCTATTGGTCGAGAGCCAGTCGCGTGACCGGTTTTAAACGGATGATAAAGACCGGCTGGCACTTTTGCAGCGTCACATGAAACTTGGACCCCTATGAAATCCGGTGCCTTTTACCCGTTTTATTGATTGAACGTTCACAATCCTCACAACTAGGCATGTGCAATACTACCAGTGAATCAGTATTTCGTAGTCCTAAATTCACACTACACGGCACAACTGCGTTATGAGCAACATCGGCTAGGGTAATATAAGCATCCAGACTCCAACCGGTCTTAAACATAGTGTTTAAAACCGGTCAAGCACACGTTTACTCCCTTATTATGAATATAATGGAACTTGACTTTTGACACATAATTTGTGGTAAATACTTGGCGCAGTCACAAATTTATGAGTTGTGTATAGTAACATTCACGCTGAGAACTTATTTGAGTTTTGATTAATTGTTTTTATCCCAGTACTGCATGTTTAATAGTAAGCAGGTGCAGTTGTATATTGCAAAGTGCAATTTTCTAATAACCACGGTACTCATTACAAAGTAATGTCTTTGGTTGGGTTTCCAGCCAGTATATGGCATTTGTACATCTGGTGCCCTGTGTCCAATTTGTCTCCGTTGACTGACTGGCTATGGAGTTTGATTTTAGTGCATTGTATGCACTTTCAGTATTATTAGTGTTTTAATGTCTTAGTTGCTGTGCTACACCACCTCTTGACTTCCCAGCAACCTCTTTAGAGTGAAAATATATCTCACGGAAATTTCTCAGGAAATATCAGGGACAATCTTCTGTTTTCACGAGGTGTTTGAAACTGTGGGTTTGTAGGACTCTGTATACCATCTGTTTTCCTGTTCCAGGTGAGCCGAGTAACGGGATGTGGAACTCGCCCCTTGGCCAGCATTGCTGTACCTTCATCAGTCTGTACGGTACCTGGGCAGACCGTGAATGCGAGCGGGCATTGGGCTACAGCTGTAAAAGAAACGGTAAGAAGAACACCCCTCTGTTCTGACATTGGGACGAGGGGACTATGCCTCCAAGGGCTTGAATCCAGGAGGGGGGGGGGGATGGGTGTATATCCCCCCCCCACTTTTTGACCGGGGGGATGGGCTATTGAATCATCTCCACTACACTTTTTCGTGATGAGAAGAAAAAATGCTGATTTCGAGGTACTTTTCGAACATCCTAATAACAAAAAATGTATTCAATAGCACTGAAAAGTGAAGAAACAAAGTACAACAGCTTGTAAAATGCGCCGTTTTGATGTAAGCGGGAGTATACATATTGATATGCATCTATATCCTGAAGAGCGCCCCCTAGTGTAATGTGGTGTCCGCCCCCACCCCCCCCCCCTTTTCGAATTTCCACGGCTGAGCAGTTTTTGTATTTTGGTCCCCCCCCCCACTCGCTGGTACAGATTTACGCCACTGGTCGCCCCTCACTCCGCCCCATAAGAGACCACACATATAAAAGCATGTAAAAGCATTATGTCACCACGTCTCAGGGAAATTGAGATTTCCTTTTTTTTACAAGAAGTATATGCCTTCACCTCAGGCTTATAATCGAAATAATCCAGTGGAGTGCATGTTTGAACATACGACCATCCGAACACCATCTCAGAACCTCAGCTATCCAGCCTTATCCTCCAACTTTTATAGGGGAGTGTGGCCTTGTGGCTATCCGGTTTATAATGACTCATGATCAAAAGATCAGGGGTTCGAATCCAGCTGCTGGTCTTATGTTGTGTCCTTGGGCAAGCCACTTCACCCACATTTGACTCTTTCCGCCAAGGGATATGAATGGCTATTGGGTGTAGCCTGCGATGCACTGGCATCCCATCCAGGGAAATAGGGAAAACAAACATGCTCAGTAGTTTCGTGCCACCGAAACCGGAGATAAAATAATGCCGTCTTGGTGGGCTATTTGTGCTTGGGACAGATTTTAATAACTTTAATACTGTATTTTTACCAGTGCAAAAGTCACTAATCAGAGGCAATAAATTATATATCTTACCTGTATCTGCATGTAAAAGCATTCAACCTGTGTTTCATTCTATCCTAACGTCACAATTCTAGCAAAGCATGCTGCAAAGGGTCGTAATGGCTGCCAAGATCCTTCAAGGATTATGTTTTTCTTACAGATGGCACATTGTAATGTTAAACACACCATACTTATTGGGTGCATGTACTTATCATTCTATCCTAACGTCACAATTCTAGCAAAGCATGCTGCAAAGGGTCGTAATGGCTGCCAAGATCCTTCAAGGATTATGTTTTTCTTACAGATGGCACATTGTAATGTTAAACACACCATACTTATTGGGTGCATGTACTTATTTTTGCTATTCAC